TAAGCTTTCCTGAATAGGCAAAAGACTTTCATGTACTTCTGAAAAGCTCACAACACTCAGAAAGCAAAATCAGGAGAAAGTAAACATACACCAGTTGTATCATGCTTTCAGTAGCTTTGGAAGGTAAATACTCTGTTTTGGGTTCTCATCAATAAACAGCAGGATGCACTGGCTGCCTATTAATTAGCATGTTTTCAGCTGCAAGACAGAAAGCCCAACCATACTGGTTCCAAATAACTAGAACTGGTTAACATTAATTAGATTAAGGGCAGGGCAGCCTTCAGTAAGGTTTACTTACTGAATCTGCCATCACTTAGCTGCTCTACGATAACAGAAGAACCTTGTAGGGAGACAGCCAGAATGTCACACTCTTTCCTCTACACGCTGTTCCCTGGAGTCTTGTCATAATGTGTGCAGCCCTACACTGACACACCCTGTTTAGAACTGAGCTTACCAATAGGTGGTATGATTTTCAACGTCTGTTAAACTAAAAAACCTCTCTCACTAACCTGTTATTCTCTAGAATAATATTGCCTTCACAATACTTTGTTCAAAGACATTCTGCATGGTAATGGGAGCAAAGAATTGGTATCAGAAGATTACCATCACCACTACTACTGCACTGCATAATTATGGGATTTATGGCATGAATACTCAATGATTATCAATTTCCTAATTAAAGCTTACAAATAATGTGAGGACCTTATGAAAAATATTTAACAAATCCTGCAGCAAACATTTAACGAACAATAATACCTTCAGAGCATTCCTTGAATGCCTGGAGCAAGCCATTTCTTTACTTCTTGTTTTGGCTGCTTTTGAGCAACCATGGTAGAACAGAACAGCCATAACAGAGTGTATAGATTCAAAGTCCAACCGCACATGAAAAGATACTCAACATCACTAATCAGGGAAATGCAAATCAAACCACAAGGAGTTGTCACCTCACACCTGTCAGAATGGCTAATATCAATAAGACAAGAAATCATATGCATTGGTGAAGATGTGGAGAAAAGGGAATACTTGTACACTGCTGGTGGGATTGTAAATTGGTGTAGCTGCTATGGAAAACAGTATGGATGTTTCTCAAAACACTAAGAATGGAAATATGGTAGGCTCCTGGGCACTTGGTGGGACGGCAGGGAGGCAGGATGGTGGGATGGCGGGACAGCGGAGAGGTGGCTCGGCAGAGAGGCCTAGTGAAACCTGGGTAACAGACCCAACCAGAGGAGGGCAGGCCCCAGCATGGGCCCCAGCATGAGTGAAGTTGCCTGCAAAAAATGTGATGACTATTTGAAATGGCCTGAGTAATTCATGGTAGTGGCCTTCTTATGCACAGAGAAGCAAAGATCCACGTTCCCAGGTCAGAGCTTGCCTGGTGAATCCAGAAACCAAAATTGTCAGGATCTGGTACAATGGGATGCCAAATGGGTGCAGCAATGGCCTGTTGTTGCCTTGGAGGGCAGTGGAGAGTAAGCTGGATGCCAAATACCTTTACATGTGCCATGCTAAGCTGAATGCCGTCATGAACAACAACTGGGCTGGTGTGAAAGGCTATCCTATGTATGCCACCTTGTTCCCATGTAATGAATGTGCTAAGCTCATCATATAGGCAGCTATCAAAGTTGTTCTTATATCTGATAAATGCCACGATAGTGATGAGCTGCAAGGCTCACATTTGAGATGGCTGGAACTGCCTTCAAGAAATTCACACCAAGGTGCAGCAAGATTGTCATTGACTTTGATTCAATTAAGAGCAAACCAAATCAGAAGCTTCTGTGAGTTACATCTCATTAAATCTCCAAAAGATTGGGATTATCCTCTTCATCTTGAAGTTACATGTAACTTATTAATAGCCAGTCAAGTAATAATAGACATCTAAAGAATGTAAAGCCTCAAATCTTTAAAAAAAAAAACAGAGAAAGAAATACCCCATGACCCAGCAATTCTACTTCAAGGAATTTACCCAAAGAAAACAAAATCGTGATTCCAAAAAGATATGCAGTCCTGTGTTTATCACAGTATTATTTACAATAGCCAAAATATGGAAACATGTCCATCAGTAGGTCAATGGATAAAAAAGATGTGGTACATATACATAGTGGAATATTACTCAGCCATAAAGAAGAGAATAAAATCCTGCCATTTGTGACAATATGGATGGACCTAAAGGGTATTATGCTCAGTGAAATAAGTCAGACAAAGACAAATGCCATATTATTTTAATCATATGTAGAATCTTAAAAAAAAATCACAAAAGAGTAAACAAAACAAAACTGAAATACATTTATAAACACAGAAAATAGACAAGTGGTTGTCAAAGGGGAGGAGGGTGAGGGTGGATGTGAGAAATAGGTGAAGGGGAAAAAAATTAGTAAGAATGCTTGATATTTTGTTCTGGGCAACAGTTGCAGGAGTACACACATGTCAGAATTCATCAAGCTAAGACCTGTGCATTTTATTGAATGTGCCTCAATATAAAAAATTGAAAAAAAAAGAAAAAAAATGCTAACATGCATATACAAGTTTTTATGGAGACATTTCTTTTTTCATTTCTCCTGGATAAATATGTAAGAGTAAGGTTGCTGAGTTGTATAAATATATGTTTAACTTTATTAGAAACAGACACAGTGTTTTCCATGTGTCTATACTATTTGCAGTGTATGAGATCTCTAGTTGTTCCACAACCTCATCCAGACTTGGTATCATCAAGCTTTCTAGCTATATTAGTCAGTGTGTAGTGGTATTTTATCATGTTTTAAATTTGTATTTCCCAATATGCAAATATTAACCATGCCAAACACGTATCTGTATGCTCAGTGACTTATTTGTTATCCACGTGTTATCTTTGGTGGAGTGTCTGTCTAAATCTGCCTATTTACTATCAGGGATTTTGTTTGTTTTTATTGAGCTATAGAAGTTCCTTATGTGATGCATTCCACTTCTTTATTATGTATATCTTTTGCAAAGGTTTTCTCCCAAGTGAAGCTTGCCTTTTTATATTTCAACAGTGACTTTTGAAGAGCAAAAGTTTTTATTTTGATAAAATCCAAATTACCAAATTTTTCTTTGTGCTTCATGCTTTTCTTATTTAAGAAATTCTTGCCTTATCCAATGTTGCTGAGATTTTCTCCTATATATTTTTCTAGAAGTTTTAGGGTTTTTGATTTTACACTGAATCTGTGACCCATTTCAGGTTGGTGTTTAGCATGATATGAAGTAAAGATTGAAGTTCATTTTTTCTTATATGGATACCCAATTATTCCAGCACCATTTATGTTGAAAAGACTATCATTTCCCCATTGAATTACCTTGGCACCTCTGTCAACAGTTAGTTGACTATACATAAGTGAGTCTATTTCTGAACTCTCTATTCATTTCTGCTAAAGGATTCCATCCTTATGCCTGTGGTCTTAATCACTGTAGCTTAAGAGCAGGGTTTCTCAACGGTGGCAATACTGACAACTGAGGATGATTAATTATTTGTTGTGACATTCTCCTGTGTCCTGTAAGATGTTTAGCAGCATACCTGGCTTCTACTCACTAGTTGTCAGTAGGCCCTCTCCCCTCAAATGTCTCTAGACATTGCCATTGTCCCCCAGGGGGCAATATCATCTTGGCTTGAGAACTACTGCTTTCAAGAAAGTCTTGAAAGTTGTCTAAAATCCTCCAACTTTGCTCTTTTTGACTAAAATTGTTTCAGTTATTCTGGGATTTTTGCACTTTTGTATCAATGTTAGAATTAGCTTGTCATTTCTACAAAAGTGCCTCTTGAATTTTGAATATAATTGTATTGAATTTATAGATCATTTTGGGGATAACCGTATCTTAAAAATATTGGATCTTCTGATTCATAAACATGACATACCTGCTAGGGCTCAAAACATATTAATGCACTCAAAGGAGAGCTGAGTGAGTTTTCAGAATCCCTCCAGGTAAGTCATTCCATGATATAGACTTGGAACAGACTAGATTGTGAACAAAGATTCAAGCTATCATCCTCAAGTTAGTTTTACCCATCACAGAACAGATAATTTTACTTCTATCTGCTGGACTTTGATATCTCTGTCATTACTGATTTGAAGCTATTAGGAAGATAAGAATATTTTATAGAGTACCCTGCAAACCCCAACAAGTCCTAAAATGTAAACCAGACATTTTAGTAAGAAATGTGACATCATTTTAATATATGGAAATAATAATGTCTGTTTCTGAACCACTAAAGTTGAAATTTTACACATGGGTAAGTTCCCTTGAATTCATGGTTAATTGCTCATTAAAATGATTATCTTGGCAACTGCTACTTGTTTTCATAACTAATAACAAATAATAGTTTTTACAACTTTGACTTACAGAGAACCTTCTTAATGTAACTCAATAGCATTAAGTAAAAAGTGATATGATACCTTTATAAGCTACAAAATTTTTATATACCAAATAAAAATTGCCTATCAAGTATGAAATTCTCAAAACTGTAGACACAAAATACAACATATAATTTATCCCCTATTATAGCTGAGTGGACTTCTCTTATGAATTGTGATATATCCAGGTTTTCCATCTATCTTTTCTGAAGAACAGAAAAAAGGATAATGGTGACATAAACATACAATTTAATCTTCTATAAGTAGGCCCTCAGTATAACTCCAGTTCAATAAACATTTATTTTGCCAATTGCACTGCTGAGTTTTTGAGGTATAAAACTAGTAAAACATGGCCCAACATCTTAAGAAGTTTGTAATTAGGTAGGAATCATTCACTTAACAAATATTATAAAACACCTATATTGTGACAGATAATTTTCTAATAGATGGGGTGGGGATGGGTGTACAGTGAACAAAACACACAAAATTACCTACCTTTATGGGAATTTCTATTTTAATAGAGCAAAAAGAAATAATAAACAAATAAAAAATAACATATTTTCAAGTTGTAAAAAGTGCTACCAAGAGAAAGCTGAGAAGGGGAATAAGGTGTATGTGTGTGGGGGTGGAGAGGGGAGCACAACTGTAATTTTTTTTCTTGGATCACAGAAAACCTTAAGTATATTTAAAACTGTGAACCAGAGTCCATTCAGATAATCCCAGTCTTGGCAGCATTGGGGTTGGTCTAATCTAAGGTAAGCCTTCTTTGCTCCTCGGGGTGTTGACCTTGGCCAGACCAGGGTGCAGAGCATCTTCACAGCTTGCTGGATCTGCTCTTGACAAGCACGGTGAGCACCAGGGGCTGTTGCTCTCCATTTCCACATGATCCTCTCAGAAATCAGGGTGAACTGATGGTGGCACAGCATTCAAGCCAATTCTTCCTGGGCACTCTCTGGAAAGCATAGGGCCTGCCTTCAGAGTTGTGATGTCCCAAGACACTGGAAGATGGGAGAACAGGGATTTTTCTTCTTTTAGCCATTGACCTCTTTCTGTACCGCCTTCTTGATTTGCAAAGCCTTCTCTTTTGCTTCAGTTTCAGGAAAGGCTTCTTTCTTATCTCAATCATTTTCTTAGAAAGGGACAGTTGTAATTTCAAGTAGGATAGTCAAGAATGTCTTCTAGACAGTGCATTATTTAAACAAAGATTTGAAGGAAGTGGGAGAGTGAGGAATGCAGTATGTAGGACAAGTGCAAAGGCCCTGGGGTAGGATAGGAGTGCACCTAGTGTGGTAAAGGTAGGTGAGGCAGGCATGAAAACACACTGTGGTAAACAGAACTTGTGGTAAAGAAAGTACTCCCAAGAAAGGAATGCTTAGACTTTACTTTGTATAACCAAGCATTTAAAGCATTGGGGTGAAGGGGAAAAAAATTAGTGAGAATGCTTGATATTTTGTTCTGGGTAACAGTTGCATGAGCACATACATGTCAGTACTTTTACTTTAAGGATCTCAACTATATTTGTAAACAGTGAAGTACTTAACCAATACAATAGTAAGGTAAACATGTTTGTTCTGTCCAATTTGTGCACTTTAGGGAGAGTGGGGAGAAGATAAAGAAGAGAAGTTAGGACATATGAGTAAGAGCATGGGCATGGACATTATTTTGCCTGAGTTAAAAATCCCAACTTTGCACTGGGCAAGTTACTTAACTTCTCTTTGCCTCATTTCCCACTTAAAGATGGAAATAATAATAGTTCCGTCATTGCAGGATGGGTACGGAAATTAAATAAGATAATACACAGTAGAGGAGTGCCTCTGAAACTTTAATGTGCATACAAGTCTCTTTAAAATGCAAATTCTGAGTCAGTAGGTATAAGATGCCCCCTGAGACTCTGCATTTGTAACAAGCTCCCAATGATGCTCATGCTGCTGGTCCACAATCACACTTTTATTCAAGATTGTAAAGCACTTAAAACAGTGCCTGGCACACAGTATGCACTGAATAAATTTAGCTAGTATAATGCTTTCGCACAGTTGAGTTGGCAGGGAAACTAGATTAAAAAGCCAACAATTTTCCCTCCTCTATCAGATGTTTCCTGACAATACTGCATCCTTGAATAGAATTCTACTGCATTCTGAGTTCAAGCAATGAAAGTGGATATAGATAACATGGTTTTCATTTTTTAAATCCATCAGTAGCAGCACCCAGCCCTCTCTTTGGATTTATGGTTTAGAGCTGTATGAAAGTAATCAATGATACCTTGTCCATAGTAGGCACTCAATAAACAATTACTGGATGAAAGAAATGTCCAGACTAAGAAAATCATCCCTCTAGGAATTAACAGTGCTGTCGGAGTTTGGTTTTATTTTAGTACAGTGGTATGTGTGCCAAATAATTATTTCAAGAATATGGCAACTGTGTTCTAAAATCCAAACTATGTTATTCTAGTCTGATTGCCTTAGGCTCTAATGAATGCAATGCAGACTAACCCAACTACTTCCTTCTTCCTGTGCTCTTCAGCCCAGACTTCGCATGCTACCAGCGCCCTCTACTGTTCAGGAACAAGTCTGCGCTCCTAAATCCATCCTTAGAACTGCAAATAGGAAATTAGACAACTGGATCTACTTACTACCGTAAGGTAGTTTGCATCTGTCTTTAAAGGAGGGAAGGAGACAGTCTAGTAGCTGTCCACATCAGAAAGAGCTGCTCTCTGAGCAGGCTGCTGGGCAGCTTACATGGGAAGCCAACGTGGATCCCCAGAGAGGAGAGAAAAGCTAATTGCAGCTTGTTGGCAGACCCCCTTTCCATCCCTCACAAGCACTAACTTACTGTGTTAACCTCCTTTTTCCAACACTAGCCTCAATTTCACCCTTCATCCTCCTCCTCCTTGAGGTTAGTTGCATTGTGAGCCTTTCCATCAGTCCCTATTACACCTGCCAAACTATGATTCTCCTTTGGAGAATCTGGGGGAAAAAAAGTCCTCAGATGAAAGCCACTTGCCCACTAAGTATGAACAGCTTTTCCTTCACTGTGATAGGTCCCCTCTTTTGTAGCATTACCTTAACTTTTTCCCAATGCTTTTTAGTATATTTAGAGTTGTGCAACCATCATCATAGTCTGATTTTACATTTTCATCATCTCAAAAAGAAATTCCCTGTTCCCATTCAGTCTTTTCCTTCACTGTGATAGGTCCCCTCTTTTGTAGCATTACCTTAACTTTTTCCCAATGCTTTTTAGTATATTTAGAGTTGTGCAACCATCATCATAGTCTGATTTTACATTTTCATCATCTCAAAAAGAAATTCCCTGTTCCCATTCAGTTCCCATTTCCCCCATTCCCCTCAGCCCTAGACAGCCATTAATCCACTTGCTCCTTTAAACCTGACTATTCTAAACATTTCCTAGAAATGGAATTATACAGTATGTGCTTTCTTAAGAAAGACTAGTTTCAGTAGTAGACTCACAGATGCTAGAAGTGACTAGTGATTACCAAGGGGCAGAGCAAGGGGGATAAAAGGGCACAATACTCTGCAATCATAATATAAGTTGATCATGGGGACAGTAGTACAGCATGGAGAATATAGTCAATGATTCTGTAACGTTTTTCTATGTTGATAGATAGCAACTGCACTAGAGGGGGTGAGGATTTGATGATGCAGGTAACTGTTGAGCCACCATGTTGTACATTTAAAACCAAAGTAAGATTGCATATCAACGAAACTCCAATAAAAGAAAAGAATGATGATAATGCTTGAAAAAGGAAAAACAAAACAAACAAATGATGTTTCATTATCATGATTTCAAGTTGTAGCATATATGAGTACTTCATTCCTTTTTATTGCTGAATAATATTCCATTGTATGGATATACCAACTTTTACTTATTTATTTGCCATTTTATGGACATTTGGGTTGTTTCCACCTTCTGGCTATTGTAAAAATGCTGCTGTGAATATTCATTTTATATATATATATATATGTACATGTATATGCATATGTCTATATGTATGTATGTATATGTAGGTGTGGATATATGTTTTAATTTCTCTTGGATAGATTGAAATTACTGGTCATATGGTAACTCTTTGCTTACCATTTTGAGGAACTGCCAGATTGTTCACATCCCTTTACCTTATGTGGAACTTCATGACTCAACCCCACCTAAGAATAAAGAAAGATTGATAAGGGGGGAAATGTATCCTGATGAGTACTAAATGGAATGACTGCTAAACTAAAATTATGATCAGGACATTTCTAACATACAAATGAGTCATCCTCAATTCTTCAAGAGCAAAAGCCCAGTTCCTGACCCAGGGAAATATTTCTCTGTATTATTTACCTCTTAAGACTTTTTGATCTTTTCTTTCTTGACAGTTGTAAACATGACCACCAGCATGTTTTCACATTCAATTGAAGCATACTTTTCTGACCCTCTACTTAGAATTACTCCCACTTGGAATTTTATGATTTCTGAGCCTTCCTAGAAGCAAGCAGAGTAGTCATCACTATTAGATAATTTGTGGAGTTTAGGATTGTTAAGCCATCAATTTAAATAGTCAAATAACTAAGTATTTCTTGAACATTTGCTCCCCATGCAGCAAAGTGGTAACAACAGAAAAGAGAGGACCGAGTTCCTTTCCTGAAGGAGTTTATAATCCAGCAGAGGAGGAAAATAAAATTGTAACTCAAATGACACAAGTGCCTAAATATCCTCAGCATCTCATAATCTATAGGGCAGTGACAGTCAAAGATTTGAAAGTCATGGCAAACACAGACTATGATAATATCTGTCTGAAGACTATGGATATGGATGTCCAGGCACCCCAACCTCCCTGAAGTGGGTCATTATCCCCACTCACTTAGAACCCACTGGAGCACACCAGTGTGGCACCGGACCTGTGGGAAACTCTGGCCCACAGGATAAATTTCAAACCTTTTCCTCAATATTTAAGGCCCTCAGCAAACTAACCTTAATCTAACCTTTCCAACCATTTCTCCTTACAGAGCCTTAATAGCCAACAACCTGGTTAGCTTAGCACCTTAGAACACTCTGGGCACACTCCCCTGAGTGTGCACCTCCAAAATGAGGCTGCAGTAGGTATGGGCTGGTTGCTTGATTCTCAGCCCCACATCTTCTCATGCTTTATTCACACCAACCACTCAAACCTTCCCCCATCCTCTCAAGTCCCACCAATTCCATTGTCCTTTGAGACATTCCCTGACCCCACCAGCCCACAGGGTCACTTCTTTCCCTGCATACCCATGTCTCTTAGTATTTAATCTAAATGCTTGACTTGTGACAGCACATTGCTTCATAGTCATTAAACTGTCACTCATGTAATTGTGGTCTGCCCAGCTAGAGCCTGGACCAGCTCCCTGAGGGCAGATATGGGGCTCCCATATGGGTGCTCATAGCCACAGCAGAAACTCCTGGGGGAAAGGCTGGATGAAGTAAACTGGTCCAGAGGGTGCTTAATGCAACGCTACCACCACATTGTCGCACAATCTGCTTTCCATTTCTTACCTATTACTTCAGGACTTAGGTATTTCTGTGCTTTCTCAGAATATTTACACAAAAACAAAACCATGATCTTGAAGGAACAGTATAAATCGACAATATTCTGAACTAAACCAGGATATAAGGCAACAGTTTTAACCCACTGAAGGCCTCAGGCAGAATACAAATTAACAGGAGCCTCTACCTGCCATGCAGGAGCCTGACACTAAGGGGAAGAGGAGCCGCAGCGGGAGGAGGAGGAAGAAGAGGAGGCGAAGCCCAAAGGAATCCTCAAGCAGCTGAAATAAGTGCTCTCCCCACATTTTGCTGTACTATTGTACATCATATTTCTCTGTTCTTGGTAGATTAAAACCTTCAGATGATTCTGTATTTAATGTTTTACATCAGTTAAGGAACATATCATATTTCACTTATTGTCAACTTTACTACAATTTTGCACAGCAATTTATTTTCTAATTACTTATTCCAAAGCCTGCCCAGAATGCTCTTGAGATCCAGACACCCCGGGACCACAGAGTGCCCACCTCAATCTTAGCATCTTCCTATCTGAAACCTTGTACTATAGTTTCTCTTTTTTTTTTTCCTGATATGCCCACACAAGATGTTGGCTCAAAAACTTGGACTTAAAGAAAAAGTAAATTAAAGAAATGTAGAAAAACAAGAAGGGAAATGATGTGCACTGGGTAAATGCTCCTGAGTTTACTCTGGGTCGTTCATGCCATGCCTCAGGGCAGGACCAGGAAGACCAATGTCAAGAGCAGCATTCAATGAGCTCACAGTGAAGAGGGCAGGGTAGACAGACATGTAAAGGAGATATTTTAGCTGGGGAAGAATGGGACCAAGGACTTGATCCCCTTACCTTTGTACTTGAAATTAATCTTTGTTGGATGGAGGAAATGGAGGTGGCAGGAAGCCCCTGAGAGGAGCGAGGAATGGACTAGAATGGAGGCCTCTACAACCAAAGTTGGGGGTGAGAAAAGGGATGGGGGTCTTGGATCCACAGCTGTTCATGGAACCTATGTCCGCTCTCCTCATGTGCCTCCAGTAGTGGCACTGAAAATGCTGTGACACTGGGTCCCTGGGCCAGCTTGGCACAGTTAGACACCGAGAGCAGTGGCAGCCCCCACCCATGTCAGGGGAACACGGACCTGCTTTGCATGGGTGGGGGGACTGCAACCAGGCAGGAAGCTCAGCCAGAGCACCATGGCCACACACTTGGTATATTTCAGCAGCCACATCAGGCCTCTGGCTTCAGAGGTAAGTGGCAGCAGCAGGAATCTGGGGGCATCCTCTGGAGCCATCAGCACTAGAGCGAGGGATGTGGATTCTTTCAGCCCCAGTTCTGGCCTCAGCAGCGAGACAGGAGTAAACGGGCTGCCTTTCTGTGCCTGTGAGTCCCCACGGCACTCAGGTTCATACAGGGAAGAGCCTCCGGCAAGGGTGAGATGGCCTGGAGTTTTCAGGGATCAGGGAAGGTGGAGCACCGTGGGGAATGACATTACTTGTATCCCAAGCAGGGGAAGCAGAACATGTGGATGACATATATTTAAATATAAAATGACACAATCAGCATCATTATAATTATGTGCAGGTCCCTATGGGTACCCGGAGGAGATGGACTGAATCAAGGCCACTGGGTATGGCCCACCAAGATGACACTGTACAACTTGAGGAAGGGGAAATTTCCAGAAAAACTGTGGTGTGATTGGAGCCCCTCGGTTGTGCAGCGTACAAGGTGGGCCTGTTCTTAACCTGTACCTATTTCTGCCCCAAGTAGGTGAAGCAGGTGAAGTAGGTCAGGTAGCCCTGTATTGAGAGGTGGTGGCATATTTTAGCAGACATTATACATACTCTAAAACTAAAAAAAAAAAGCAGCAAGTCTTGGGTTTGAATTCTGGCTCTGACAATTACTGTTTGATCTTCAACAAATTATAGTTTATGTTGTGTAAATGGAATATTACCTTTACCAAGGATGTTGTCAGTCTGTGATACGATGTGTAGAAGGGCTTACTCAGCGCAGTACCGGACACATTGTCAATGATCAAAAAAAGTCAGTGCCTCTATTTAACAGGAAAACTGAGACCCAGAAAAGAAAATGATTTTTCCACCTGTAAGCCAATAAAAAAAAGTGAAGCCAGAGTTTGAATTTTCTGATTCCTAATTCTCCAGTGGGTTGTCCCCCAAGAGAACAATTTCCAAGAAGACTGGAAGCTGTTCGAGAAGGCCTGAGCTAGACTAGCCAGGACTCGCAGCAGCACCTCGGTGAGCACCCGCCCCCATCTTCAGAGCAAAGAAAAAGCACTTTACTCCGTTTCTCACTAAGGAAGTGGTTTTCCTCTGCCCTAGTCCTCCTTCCCCTAGTCTTAGGGATAGGGAAATATAAGGAAATTGAGACTATGGGTCATTATTCTGTATTTTCAATTTTCAGATCTCCAATTTGCAAAATTAGGTGAGCCAAGCAGTGGAGAGACCTTCAAACCTTTGACCTCCATGACAAGCTTGATTCCCGGAGCTTGTGGGACCCGTTCTGTTAAAGTGCCAAAGCTCTGGTCCTTGGAGCACACAGGCGTTCCTGCCCGCCCCAGCGCCCCCCCCCCGACCTCCAGGAGGGCTGGGTGTGCCCTGGGGGGGCACAGTCCAAACTGTCATTAGAAGCGGCCCTGAGTTGTCGCAGTCTCTCTCCTGCCTTTCCATCGGAGCTCGGTTTAATGGGACACCAAAAATCACTCCAAATGCCGGGAGAAAAAGGAGGCCATGTTTACCAGAACTGCTTTCGGAGAGAGTTCCGGACGTGCTGGGAGGAATTCTCTGAAATTGCTAGGGGGTGGGGCCGGGGAGAGGTGAGACCCCATGAGGCTCGCTTAGGGTACAAGCGATCACCAGGCTGCCCTCGAAAACTGTCCCCGAGTTGCAAGGCTTGTTTTCCTGAGGGGGTATGGAAGATCGCCCTCAAAGAGGCACCCGCTCCATCCTTCCTCAACACTCGGTATCAAAGCTACCAGTGCCCCGGCGCCTGGTTAACACGCCTGCCCTGTTCCCAAGTCTCCATGCAACCTAACCGGGCCCCGTGCCAGGGCATCTTAGCTTGCGGCCTCCCGCGTCCGGATGGCCCGAGGACGCCGTGGACCGCAGCGCCCCCGTCCGGAGCTCGGCGGGAGGCGGGGTCCGCTTTGCCGCGGAAGCCGCTCGGCTCCCGGCCCAGCTCTGCTTCGCCGCGCCCGGGTCCCGTCCCTGCGACCCGCTCTGCTTAACTCGGCTGTGTTCTGGGGTCTGTCCTCGGCCCCAGCACTGAAGCAGGCGATATGGAGATTGTTCAGCCGGCGCCTTTCAGGGAGACCTGCAGCAAGGTCAGGTCTCAGCTGCCTCCCCATTCTCTTTTTTTCTTCCGTCAAAGTGGACAGTGAGTCTCAATGACACCAATGCGGCTAGTAAAAGGAAGCGTCAGATAGGGGTGGAGAAGAAAGCAAGCAGAGCACTGGAGAAGAGAGAGAGAAAGCACCAAGCTGGCACTACAAACGGTGATCATCCCTCCTGTTGAAGGGGACGGAGGAGGAGCTGGACCCAGCGAATCAAAGAGGGAGCCGCTGTCCATTAAATATCAGTTTTTTAATATGTGAGGTTATATTATGTCTGCACATCCTTTCCATTAAACCTTAAAACACTTGGCTTAGATTGGCTTTCATAGTCATACTTTAAAAAGTTAATATTCTTATTTTTATGACTTTTTCCCCAATCTCTTTTTCAATTACAGATATTTCGTTTTCCTGTGCCTGCTGTGGTTTTCTATTTCCATGTTAAAAAAATGCTCCATTCTCTTAGAACCTGGAAGTCTTCAGTTTACATTTTGCTTTCTTTCAGTTCCTCCTTCACTTAGTTGTTCTCTACATATTTGGATTTGGTTCCTCTCATCCTTATTTGCAAATCCATACCCCAAACTCCTTGTCAGCTTTGCTCAACTCTGAATATACACCAAAATGTCGGTCATTATGAGATACTCTCATTGAAGGGAAATTAAAGTGTGCAATCTAAATTATTTTCACTGAATTTTTTTGCTAAGTTCCTTACTACTACAGCCTGGAAATCAAGATGTCCAGCTTACTTTTAATTCCATTTAAAAACCTGGCTTTCTTGGGTTATACTAATCTGACCACCTCTGCTCATGTCACCTAACTTACAATACATACTGGAAACAAGGACTTGCAGAAGGGTCTCTATTCCTAAAGGTTTGGGACAACTATTTACCTAAGCTGAAATTAACATTATTTTCATAGAAAACTACAGTGAAATGCAAAAGGGAAGAAAGGATTTTTAAAAGACGCCTTCCTTATAGAAATTCAGACAGTAATGTATCGACAGATGGAGAGCCACAGGCATCAGAGGAGAATTATTCAAAACCACTGCTGTGCAAGGAGCTGGCACATAAACGACAGCTTTTCACATTGGGGATTTAAACAATGAACAATTTTTACAGACTATTGTCTTTTGGTTCCTCTAATTAAGAGCTAATTACATGCCTAATTTCATCACACATCTAATTTTTCAAATTTCTCAGAATCTCCCCAAATGCATATAGCTACCTATACTGAATAAACCTAAGCACCCACTATTTAGGATGGAAAGATAATTTTGAAAAGTAGCTTGTAAGCCAAAGTGTAAAACCAAAAATTTACATAGTTTATGAATACATGAATATATGGAGGCTACTGAAGAGGCAACAAGTGTAAAATCAATTTTCCCATGTGCCATAATCAAGTTCCTAGTAGCAGCGCATAAAAAATAAGGAATAAAATGTAAAAGTAATAAGAAGGCAGGAGGAAACTCTTGGAGGTATTGGAAATGTTTATGGCATAGATTATGATGATGGTTTCATGAGTATATACTTATTATGCTCAAGTTTATACATTAATCATATATAGCATTTTGTATGTCAAAATTTAATTTTTTTAATTAAAATTTCCATACACCCCACCCTGCCCAAAAATGAAGACAGGTGTGTGTGTGTGTGTGTGTGTGTGTGTGTGTGTGTGTGAGTGTGAGCCTAAAATTCCATGGCAAATAACACAGTCTAATGGGACTTTTTATGAGTAACCGAATGATGGGGTATTCTGTTCTTGATATAAATTAACCCATATCCCAGGTCCCATCACCTCACTCCTTACCATTCCTCAGGTGTACCTTCCATTCCTGCCTCACTGAATTATAGTGCTTGCACTTCTCCAAATTCCACGTGCCTCCAAGATCTTCCTTAAACTGCTCCCTCTGTTCAAAATGCAAAACAGTGCTTGCAGTTCTCCAAACATGGCATGCCTCCAAGGCTTCCTCATGCTGTTCTCTCCCCAATCTTGTTCACCTGGCCTACTTACCACAGATTTTTGTACCACTACCGGCTTCATATTACCAATTCTCAGCAAAGCTGACTGAATAAATGATGTCTTCATGGAAACATATTGTCATCACCATCATCAATAAATTTCTGTAGATCAAGACACTAAGATAATAAGATGCCAAGTTAGTAAGGGATCTACATAAAAAGACCCATGATAAAATGACAAAAAATAAAAGCTATAGTCATTTGGAAACATTCTGAATGTCAGGACAGTCAGGGGATCTTAGAAGAAAGAGAAAAACGCCATTTCATGTGGTTTACATTCATGGACATTCTAGAATGACTTACTGTAATCTAATGCAAAACCCAGTGATAAAGAAATTAACTCAAAAACAGAAGGGAACTCTCCGTCATAGGGTTGAGGATTCATGTGGTCAGAGAGGGAAAAATTGCACAAAAGCATAGTCCATCAGCTTTGCACAGGAAATATCTTATCAGGGGAGCCCCATCTCTAGCTAGGCTGTAACTCAGTTTTGCCTTAGGAACATTTTATGGATCTGTTTCCTCAAGGATGACAGCAGGACACAACCAGATAACCCCGAATGATCCAGGGAAGGCTAACAGAGTGAAGTATGGGCATTATCAGCCCTTGTCATAATTTTAAAAAGCACTTTAGAGTCTGCTCTCGTTATTTATGTTTTCTGATGGGTTATTTCTGCAAAATGCTTGTAGCCATTTTCAAATTCAACAAAAGCACATTAAAGGGCATCTTGGTTTTGGGAAGAAAAGCAGCCCTTAGGGGTGCAGTGGGAGGCTGGGAGGACAGAGGCAGTGTTCTGGTCTGCACTGCTGGCTCTGATGGCCGTTAATGACAGCAGTGCACCTAGGGCCTGTGAATTAACATTGCATTTCCCACTTGTTATTTGTGAGTCTGAAACAAGTCAGCTTTTTAAGTTGGCCGGCAGCTGGGCTTGTCAAACCGAGCAATTCCTTTCTGATTAAGCCCAGTCATAGTATGCAGAGTCATTTTGGTGGTTGGAAACTATCATAAATTCTTCAGGACTTAGTTTGATTTGAAGTGGTTGCCGCCACTCAGCAGCCTAGAAACATGGGCCTGCCCTTGGAGGAGAGCAGGAGGAGGTGAGGAAACACATGTCCTTTCCGGCTTCCAAGGGGAGTGAGGAAGCAACAAGCTGTCTGAGAGGGGCTCTGACAATGTGAAGACCCTGACTTGGACATTCAGAGGAGATGGCAACATCCTTCCGACCTCAAACACAAAGGACAGCCTCTTCCTCCAGGGAGGTAATCCGGTATTCTCTGTCCTGCAGATGACTTGGCAAGAACCACACCACGGAACTTTCTCCAGAGCTCCTTTTCCCATCTTCTTGGAAATGACAATTTACTGGGAAAGCAAAAAGAAGTCCATATATCCTCTAAAATAATGAGACTTGTATAATAAAAGATGCAAATTTATTGAATGTACAAGATCAGTATAAGCCGCACTGGCTGGTCTACTGCCACATATGGCAATAGCTGAAGGGTCTTTGGTTGTTTTTTCCCCTCTTATGCGTGGCACTCTTAAAGAACAAAGACTGTCAGATTCTGAGAATCTGTGTAAATATCCACACGGGATTATCTTTTTACCTGGGTGCCCTGCCAGAGACACTGGGAATTGCAAATAATTTCTACCAAAAAAAATGGAGGTGATAATTGCCATAACATACCAGCAAGGACATCCTATACTGATTGTTCATCTTGACTGGTTTCCTGGGTAGCCTTGTGTACTGGTGAGAGACAGCTCTTACGTGCCTCCAAGATCTTCCTTAAACTGCTCC